TTTTTTTGCCTCATGTTTGAAGCAGCTGTTCTAAGAGAATTTCATATCTAATTCGATACGGTTGGTATCATTGAAAAGTGCTTTCCTTGCGCTTTCTAAAGCATACCAGAATTCAATAAAATTCTTAGTGTACGGAGATCACAGGCCTAAAATCTCTAAGTGGCCGAGGTACGTTCTATCCCTAGAAATATGTCCTTGCGAGGGTATCTCCACAATGCGCCCTTCAAGTCAGGTTCGTTCATTGGCTTCGGAATAAGGGTATGGAATGCTAGTATATGCAGAAGTTCGGTCCCATGAAGAATACGTCTTGCTAGTGAAATTTATCCTCGAACATAAATCTTTGGTATAGATGTTTTACAAGCAATAACTTTCTGCGAATAGAAGTAATCGACAAGCTCAAAGTTGGAGGTGCTAGGGCAAAGCAAGAGCTAACAGGGCCCATCCACCAATTCCTTTTCGGCGCTCACGTCAGTTGTAAAACGTTCGTAGTTCATAAATAGGCATGCACACATGTGCTGAAGCGAGGTCAAAAAGTGGCTAATTTTTTGTTCGGTCAAGAAAATCTCTCGGCAGCGCAAACCCTATGGGCTCTTTTATGTTGCATAATAATCTACGAAAATTTCTCTATCCATCCATTATTAGAAAAGATGCCTATCAATTTTCATAAGGGAGCGTTACCATGTCAAAAAAGACAGTTTCGAAGAAAAACGCTGCGAAGTTTTTGCATTCTTGGTTCTTCCTTAACAAAGATTTGCGCAGATCTCAATATGCATTTTTTAGCCAAGGGACTGCTCAACACATAGAAACTAAGACCTTGGAAAAAAGTTGACTCTGAAAGAAGTTATGACATTTTAAACTCAAAAATTCAAATCGGACAGAACTTATGCAACAGCCTAGTAGATGTCTTATGTGGATAGTGTTGATGAATTATGGTCTGAGTTACTTTTCTCGATTTTTCGGGCAGCTGAGTCTTTTTACTTTTTACCTTAGCACTCGAGGTGGATAAGAGCTATTCCAAAAACAAGAGAGCCTTCTTTTAGAGCTTGCTTTTTCTATCGAATGATGCTTTGCAAGCTATTTAGAAATGAGAAGTGTATGACTTATTGCGATTGAAATACAAAACGGGCATCAATTTCCGGACAACGTAATATATAAGATTATATTACAAAATTGCACTGATTTATCAAGAAAATTTGAGTGATTTTTCATGCATGTTACTCGTCTAATTCTTATCGTAACCCTGTATGGGATCGAGGTAATGGGTCAGTGCGAATGGAGCTTTTTTGCATATCTCCATTTATGGCCGTAAATTCACGTCACCGTGAGCTTGCTGGGTTTCGGCCTTAAATGACGAACCTAGCGTTAGTTCGTAGTTTTCGGAATGGCAGGACAGGTACGGGCCCAATGGTGGGTGTGCTATGAATGTGTAATGTCACCAGTCCTCAATTTAAAGTAGGAAAGTAGTGAAATCACACAAACGGTTCACGAAAGGAGGACTATTGTGGGTGGAAAAAGGCAATAGCTTCTCATTTTATACGACCATAATGAGAGAAAAAAAGCTGATATGAGGTGTGAAGAGGCAAGCAAGGTGCTGATTGCCACAAACTGTGATCAATCAGCGAAGAAGGGAATTTTTGGAATTTTAGCGAAACTTTGTGGAAGAGGCAGTGGAGAACCTTAAACATTTCTAGTACGTTTCCAGCTCGAAGTCAAAGGAAAGTAAGTCCCATTTGAGACTTATGTGGAAGTGGAACAATCAGCATTGGTGTTCTCGAAGAGGGTTTAGGAATATATGCTAGTTGTTTTTATGTTGCTTTAGCAACTTAATACTTGAGAAATTTCTGATATGGAACTAATTTAGGATTGTTGTGCTTAGCATTAACGAGGCAGCGTAAGAGCTTGAGGTCGCTCCAATCCCAGACGAATTCGTTGCGCCCGATGGCAACAGGATTCGGATGAGATTAAAGCGGCATAAGCTTAGATCATCACGGTCAAAGACTCATACTAGGATACTGTAGAGCTCGAAAATTGTAGAAAGCCGCTGAACCACAGAGGACGAACCATACAGAGGTGAAGCATTGAATTGGTGTGAACGTGCTGCTTTTCACTGAAGGTGCCGCGCCGTTGTTCTGTCTCTGTGTGTGTACTGTGAATTGGCAAACGCTCGTTGAGGTGCCCGAAATGGAAAGACGTAATGCAAACAAATGCGTGGCCCTATAGGGAAGACGGAGTTGGGGGTGGGCACCGAGTGTTAAGGATTAGCGAGTATGATATAGCGTCTCAATCAGTTCAAATAAAGATAAGACTAGGGAAGTGCATGTGACTGATGCTGAAGCGCTTCCCACAGGGCTGATCTGTGACTATAGTTCCTGAATCATCTTCATCAGATACGTAAGCCTTTTTGAGTCGTAAACTTCTCAACTTCTAAAGGTCTGTACACACTTCTTGCTATCACAGACTCAAAAAATTGTAATCGATGGCATTTTATGTTCAACATTTAAGTGACACATACAATCAACATGTTTGGCTTCCCTTGTTTGAGAAAAATGTTCTAGAAAAGCTAGTCGAAACCTGTCTTCTGTGCTGCAATTTATCAGGTTGTTGTAGGATCGAATTCACGATATTTCTTAACAATTTCTTCTAACAGGTGGTATCACATAGCAGCGTTTAACAGTAGAAAATGTTGCTTTCAACTTCAAAAGTACCTATGTCCTGCAAAACCGCAAGAAAATAGGTCTTTCCATCATCATTGAAAAACTCCTGAAGATTTCCAATATGTACTGAGCTGCTGGCATATTTCTGGACGTTGTTTTGTTGTTTTGGTCTTTGCCTCAAAACTTTCGCATTGTTGATGCATTTGTAGACTTCTGTGCATCATAGTATTCAAAGATTTCTTGAAACTGTTCTAAGGAGCTCATTAAGAGCTTTCGATTGATGTACAGGAAGCCCTCCTTCTCTTAGTTTTAGTAGAAACCACAAAGCTCAAAAATCAAGCTAGAGGCGGACTTACGTGACTTACTGAATTGTCTACAATATTCTAATATTGAAGTTACGAGATCTGGAATATTGTTGAGCTTAAATTTTGCATGAGAAACTATGAAATACGGATTTATGTATAGTGATGTCACTGTAGGTTTCTGTGACTTATTAAGTAAAGAATTCAAAATTTAGAAAACTTTGAATGAAATTGGACATAGGGTTTTTTATGACTTTGTAATAACTTTTGCATCCACAAGAATATTTCGCAAATAATTTTGATAAAAGAAGGGGAGCTCTTTCTTCGATAAATCGACTCTTCTCTTGCCATCATTCAAGCATTGTGTGCTTTTCATTGATTGTGTTCGTTGCACCTTCACAAGGAGATTTATTGAACAGATTCATATCACTATTTTCAAACCTTTCTCTTACAAAAGGCTTTGGGAATCATTTTTCACCCGTTGATTGAAAAAAAAACATCCATTCAGCGGAACTGATAAAAAGACACGTATAATGTGGAGATAAGCATTTTGGTTCTGATAAGGGCAACCCTAGGCGTTACAACAAAAGAAATTATTGATATTTGATCTGCTTCACCGACTAATATAGCGCAGGAAAGGAATTGAATATTTCAATACCTCTCCTGCTCTAAAAACAGGTTCTTATCTAGATCTTGGTCGTGAAATCTTTTCACTTAGTGCAAAAAGAAAGCGTTGGCTGAATTTCGCTGTATGACTAGCTCATTATTTTTTCTCTAGATGAAGATGCGTCATTTAAAAAACTTTAGCATTATTTAGCACTCTTTGACTAGAGCACACAATATCGATGGATGACTAGGCGTCATCTAAGATGTGTCATTGGTGTCGATAACCTTTCCAAAACGGCATCGATGAGCGATGCAGCGAACAGCAAACATCGCTGGACGTCGTCACGGTCCACGCTGTAAATCTAACGATCGGATGCTTCACAAAGTCAACATCAAGAGTCTTCACAGTGCTAAGTGCTTCGTCAGATGAGTTTCTGCTTAGAGCCTTTGCACATGGAAGGCTGCACAATAAAGACTTATATTATAGAAGGTTGCAGCTATTTTCTCCAGGTAAGCACATTTACACCATAATAGAGGCAAAATTATTTAGCAGTGACACCGCGATTATTTATAAATTTGTCATTTCTTTCTCCCAGAAGATCACACAACCGCCGGCCTCAGACACTAAGAGGCAAAGCTGTACGAATCAAAAACAGTAACCTAACGAAGACAGAAAAATTTTTACTTGGGACCAACCGATTTCGAGAAAGTTCCCTAAGAAGATTTGTTTCTTCTTTATAAATCTAAGCACTTGATTTATAGCAACAAATCTCCACAAAGTTGTTCAATTGTTTAAAGCCGTAACAGGTTTTTAAAGGAACACTTTATTTACTGCCCGTAGGTTTTACAGAAAGGAGACATACAGTCTCCACAAAGTGTTTCTTGCTTGGCAAAATGAGCAAGAGGTCCCAGTCCTTCACACAATGACCATTTGAGAAAAAAAATCTGAATTTGAAATATAGTGGCTAAGCATCAAAATGAGCGATGACCGATGAGCGCTGATCCTAGTTTATATTTATTCTTGGTTTTTTTGTTGGTCTCGTCCTTCCATATGGAAGTCCTTTATAAAATTCTGCGATTGGGAAGAGTAGCCTTAAACAGTAAAGAGTTTTTTCTGTTCTCATCGAAATGTTGCTTCAAGTTGATGCTCTCGTTCAAAGTTGGAGACTTCATCTCGTCCGGAAGAGCCTGATAGAGGATTTCAAGTACATAAAGCGATCTACTCTACTATAGCTTTGGAACGGCTTGGTTAGCCTGATGTGAAAGCAAGTAAAGTTAGAGCCAGGGACTGCCAGATATAGCTTTGACAGTTCAAAAAAAAAACCACCGCCCAAACCTATCATGCCAACGAAATGCAATTATTCTACCGACAGTATAAACGTAAACATTCTCAATCCAAACAACCAGTGAGCAAGTGCTCTTCACTTTTCGTTGTTGGACACATCGGACGGCTTGCCGGTCACCTCTCTTTATGGCCAACGTTCGCCTTCTCGGTTTCTCCTACACTTATGCCATAACCGAAAGAGAGTGAGATTCTACAAATCCTGTCTTTCACATCCAAGGAGGTCTTTAACAGTGATCCAACAGCCGATATGCCCAAAGAAGTGGAAGACTCAATGCAGCAAGTGAAGCTTGGAGCGACAGGAGCTTATATGCCAACACCAGTTCCACCTGAAGATCGCTCAAACGACCCGCAGTCTGATGCCATGGGTAACTTTCTCCAGATCTGTGTATCACAAAAGGCCGCAAATTGGATATGGCCATGGAAGAAACGCAGGATGAGCCTTTCGCGCTTGTCCCTAAGGAAAACTCCATTTTACATTCGTGCACCTTGCAAGCTTTTTCAGAGAGTTTCAACCGATGAGATGTGTTTTGCGACATGACCCATTCCTCGCCATATGCTTCAGGTTACGGTAGCCTACTGTAGCGATATAATGGGAAAAAGCCCTTCTTCAAAACTTCTTGCAAATCAGCATCCACTCATTTTCAAATAAGATTCATTACATGTGGTCGTGCTTATAGGAAGTCTTCATTTAATAAGGCGTAATTTGAGTACAACAATTACTGTATGGTCCATTTAGGGATACATTAAACCTCTCTGTTACGAATATGGCAATTAAAAGATTTTACAGCCGACACTCCTGCATCCACCAGTTCGGCCGCCATTCCCCTCCGTGAAATCGAAAGAGTTCTGCCGATATATCTCAGAGTTTATTACAAAGAAGACGATAAGGTTGGTGAAAAGTTTTTGAACAAAAGTATCTGAGTACATAGCTTGACACAGTTCAAATCAGAAGATCTCAGTCAACACTAAAAAAAGGATGGCTGTGATTTTCAGACAAAAAGGTCCATTATCGAGTATGAGGTAAAGAACACGGAAACGTTAATTGAAATGTTGTCAGTGATGCTACGAAAACTAAAATATTTGAAAGGGTATATGTTTTTTATCAAACAGTTCTTTCAATACCTTTCTCTCCTCGTGTAAATGAATGTTGGTATTCGATCACCTCAATGAGTCCACCAAATGCACTACATACTGTGCTTTCAGAAAACCTGAAGCTAAAGGGCGTATGTACTTTGCGCAGCGTAAATTTCGAAACCCAGCCGAGTTGGACTTCAAGTAAACGTCTTTGTATCCTGACTTCATATCCATAAATCACTAATTATAGGCGCCATGCATCTACAGTGATTGAGGATCTTTCACAAATGGAGAAGAGTTTGTTTTTTGTGTTTGATATGGCTGGAAGACTTGATGCGGTATGGAATTTGCTTTGGCAATTTCTTCCATTCTAAATTTTAAATGTAGGAAGAGCCTCCCGAAGAGAATGTTGCTTGTTGGACTGTACCACTGAGGAAGTAACGCACGGATACGCTTTCCATGTCTATACGCTAAATCAATTATGTACATACAAATAAAGCTTTTAAGAGCTGAAGGTCTCTCGCAAACTGAATCACATCGTGAGACATTCAGAACATTCTGCACTGGAAATTATCTGTAACATCAATCACTAACAATTCCTTATCTAACAAAGGCAAGAATACAGAGTGATAGTTTCGTTGAGCCGTTTTTGTAACCGTGTGTGTGTTCATTCGTATGGCTCAGCAGGGAATAGTCGGAACTTAACCCGGTTATACTAAACATGCTATATATCATCGGAGTCTCCTTGGAACGCTGATCAAAACTATATGTATATTATCTACCAAATGGCTATCTGAGAGAAGTTATGAGCGTTTTAATATGCGATTTGTCAAGTGTTTTGTGGCTCAAGTTCCAGAAACACGTTTCAAAAACACTTATTTGGGTTTTTGGTGTATGTGTTTCTTCCTTGTAATTGCATAACCATAGCCACGAAAATCAGCGCCAGCAGGCTGCCTTTTCAGGAAACATATACGTCAAAACTGTAAGAATTCCTCATATTTGAACGCTCCTAACTCCTTCCAGATAGTCGCTTGGCAGATAAAAACATATATTTGATATCAGCGCTCTAAGATGATTTCGATGATATACAGCTTGTTTGGAATGGCTAGGTTAAGTTCTGACCATTTCCTCGTCAGTATCGACGATTTTATTCCCTAGTTGGCATACCTTCGTACTTCAAAGCAATTTAGCATCAAAGTGGTTTTGCAACCTCCGCACAGGCAGTCATCTAAATACGGTACCATCGGCGCGCTGTTATAAGCAGCGCATCAAAGGCACCGTCCACCCTAAGTTTAGGGTCTTGAGCTTTTGGCAGCATACGATGGTATATAGCGCCAGAGTCGCCGCAAAAGCACGATTTGAGTGAGAATGTGATTAAAAGCAGCGTCCTTTACTTTATCTAACACCACAATGTGATTTGCGAAAACACAAAGTTTTTCATTTTTCCGATGACGTCGCGGCAAACATCCACACTCCTGAGGTGTTTGGCCCATAAGTCGCTGTATAGCTGGCAGTCAATTAGATTCGCAGGTACAAATCAATGCTCACTTTGGAGAGAACTTCCTTATTCTTCATGAAGTTCTGGAAGTCTAGAAGTTTTTAAATATAATAAAAAGGTTTCCTAGCTAAGCTGAAAGTTCCAACTTTGAAGCGTAATTTGTAAAATTTGTATCCATAGGCAAATCATTCAATACTGGCATATAAAACAACAAATACTCTGAAAACTGATTCGAAATTACCCACTTATGCGGGGTTTTAGTGCAAGATAAGTGAGCCAGAAGGTGCTCATGCACTTACTTTCAAAAGAACATATCTCAAAATTAGGCATGGTAACGTGCCAGCATTTTTGTACAGTAACGAAGTAAGCTTTGTTAATTAGCTGGGTGTCTGTATGTGCTTTCTGGAGAAACCATCCGCACTGTGATGAACTGAAAAGTGCAAAATCACATATAAGTGATTCTTGACGGTTCCCTGTGATCTCACCAAATACCACCTTTTTTACATACTCGGAATCTACATGCGATAAGCTCTCCAAAAGAACATATATTGGTCCCTCTGTCGTCACATAAAAATGAGCGCCTATATGATCCATTAGTGTACTTGAGTGCACCTACACACAGCTGTAGCCCTCTGCAAATGCAGAGGTGCGAAGAATTTGTTATGGACCAGAGGCTACTGCAGGACGATGGCGAAGAAGCAGAATTAGTTGAGCGGGCGCGAACGCGGCGCGCGTATTCTCGCCATCGTAATCTCTACGACTCATGCGCTCTGTAGCCAATAAAGCCGCTTTGCGCTCGGAGTTATTCACCTTCGTCATGCAGTAACCTACAAATTATCGATCACATTCGTAGAATAACTCATCATTAACATTGAGATGACAGAGTTGAAGTATGAATATCAAGTTTTGTCGGCATAATTTTACAAAAAAGGAATTTTGATCAAACTTGTGAAGTTTACAGATAATCACCTATTTTTCTCAAAGATTTTCCCATTTTAACAGCAGAACAGAAAGGTATCCGATTTTGTTTTTCAACCAGTGCTCATAGCTAGAAGACAAGACGACTTCTAAAATTCTCCGTTTCGGGGTGCCGATCCGCTTTTTACTGCTCCAAAAACTAAAAAGATTGTATATGCCCTTTACATTAGTGCATAATTGTAGTAGATATTCGATTTCAGCATTTCGAAAAAAACTGCGAATTTAGAGAATGCAGATATTGTTAAGAATGACAAATTTTATGGAAGCAGATGTCAAATTTTGAAAGACACTCAATATTCTCTACTTTGTTGAGTTGTTTTTTCTTCCAGCAGTTAATGGCCTATGGATGGCAGGTTGGTCGAGAATATATGGTTTCTGGGATCCAATAAGGTTATCACGGGCTAAAGTGCCTGTTGATCATAGAATCCACGAACTAGAGTGCAATATAGCGTGCTCGCTTGCCCTAGAGTAGGCGGGCTATTGCAGTCAATTGATTCTATCGATCCTCCATTCTAGAGCATTGTTTTCTGTACTCTCGCGCTTTCAAAAAGCGCCGTACGTGTACCTCGGTAGTGTTCTGTCTATTGCGCGCGAGCAAACAGTACAGCTAGGTACCATCGGCTTCCCAATTGCCGCGAGGGCGGGATCGGGCGAGCGTATCAGCGATGCGGTTGTCCAGTGTTGAAACATAGCTGATAAATTGATTATCGGTTGACCATCGCGACCGCCCTCGCAGCAATCGGGGAGACGATAGTAACTCCTAGTGTGCATGCAAAAAAGGGTTCAATTATGCTTGTCTACTTTTGAGCTGTAAATTGCCAAAATTTCCATTTTTTGTTGAATTCGGAAGGAGTAGTACTTTCTGCTTTTTTACGGTGATAAACGAAGTAACGATTCGGATCTATGTAAGTGTCAGTGTAAGAGATGACAGGAAAGGGTAATTTCTGAGATTTGTTCCGTGTGAGTGAGAGGATTGAGCAAAAAATGTGAATTCTGATTTTCCCTTCAGCTAGTGAGCTTTGAGAAAAAACGGTATTTTTCGACTTTATGGAGTGAAGGGGTAAAAATAGTAATTTCTGATTTTTTGATAAGCAAAGATGAAGTAATTTTCGGATCTGATTTTGGAAGTTGTGAAAGGGAAACTGACATTTTCTGACATTGCTTATGGTAGAAAAGCTAAAGTGGTATTGAAAAGGTAATAGAAATAAAAAATTGATCAAAGTCAAAGAACGGATGGCCAAAAGTCATTATCGACTATGTTTGACTTCTACATTTTCTTCATTGACTCCTCGTTCTTTTTGTCTGTTTTTTCTATCTTCTCAAAGTTTTTAGTTTCTTTTTGTTTCTAGAATTGTTTGCCAATCTCAGCAAGAATACATATAATGATGTCAGTATATTCATCATACCGTTTCAGGGTCGCCCAAAAGGCAGAGTGACCTTCACAACATTTTCGTCATTTGACATGGGTATGTTCACATCTTAAATAGTGCCGGCAAAGGGTTCGCGCAAAATTATGTGGAACAAAGAGGAGCTTCACAGCAACCAATTATCTTTTTAGTATTCGTCCGATCTTTTCCCAATCTCAAAACTAATGATCGTTTTTGAAATCTCATGGCCTTTTCTCACGCTGCTTATGTTCTAACAAAAATTGATCTGGCAAATTATATTTGCCTTTTTGGTTTGTCTCAGTTTCAAATAACCCATAACAGCTTACACATTGTCTGCTTATGATTCACCGTGACACTGGAAGTCAGTTTTGAAATATCGTAATTGCAGAACCTGGCTCTGCTGAGCCATCCCAAAATTGGAAGGAAACCCTGCTTTTAATTCTTTGTAAAAATCTATCTCCATAACTTTAAAAATTTCAATATAAATAACGAATTAATGTGGGTGGCAGCATATTTACGAGAATCAAAACTTCAGACGTCACATCGATCGCAGACGTGGTCGTTGAACCTCTCGAGGGCGACTTACAAAAGCCAAGTCGTATGCTAGAGTCTTCATGGTAAAAGTAAGGATTTCTCAGAAAAAAACAACGATGAATTTTTCTTTGGCTAGATAATTGCGTGTGCGACCGAAAGATTTGTGAAAATAAATTACCGCTAATTACGGAAGAAGAGGAGATGCAAAATCCGCTTTCAGCAGGTGCTGCGGGACCGTTCTAGGGTGGGAAATGGGAAATTCTACGAAATATATTTACGAAAGTTGTTTGATTGTTGAAGGAATGACAACTCAGTAGTTTCAACGGAGAGGCAAATGCTGGAGAGGCTCACAAGCTCTGTTGGAAAAATTAACGCGAATTAAAGCGCATCTTCAAAACAGAAATGGGTACTTGAGCACTGCAACGGAGCAGTGCAACACGCCAACGTCTCCTGAGGATCTTAGAAAGATGAGGAACAGTTCACATGAAAATTTGACTAAAAACCCATGGAGAGTCGATACAGAAGGTATGCAGTTGGTTTGTAATGAATTTTGATAAATTTGGGGGTAATAGAGTGCAGGTGAGCTGGCGTAGATTAGATCAGTCCCCTTTTCCTGAGAATTTAAGGAAATCAGCTGAGGGAAACCTTAACAAATTCCCGCTTGATTTTGAGAAAGAAGTCTACGCTTTTTTAAAGGTTTCCCTCAGCTAATTTCCTCAACACAACCGACCCCTACCCGTGGGAAGGAGAGTGACAACAGTAACACGGGTGAGCTTCATGAAAGAAGTAAGTTGAAATATTTACTTTTGAATTTTTGATGCTTTAATGAGGCCTTTTTGCAGTGTATATACAAGTACTATATGGAGCGGGGTAGCTCGGTAGAGTATTTGGAAAGCGCAAACGCAGCTTTGGGAAGCTAAGGTGCTCCGCAGGCACCACGCCTTTGAGACGAGCCTGTATTCGATTTTGGCGAAGAATTGAGCGATCGAGCAGAAACCATATTATATATGATATATATAATAAATTATATATGTTTATGATATTCGCTCAGCAACATTTGATAAGTTATTTATTAGGTGGGTCCGAAAGTTTTGTCGGTTTTTTCAATCCATCGACAAACACGCTAGGATGAAGATAAACAAAAGCTTTAAAATGCATCCAATGCAGAATTTCTTCCTCTTTCCAGCTGCTAAACACCAATGGGTTTCGTTGCGAGAGTTACAAAATATATGCTGGAAATTAGGACCACTCGTTTTCGCCGTGTCCAACTATCGCTAATTTTTGAAATTTTTGTATGAGACTTTCGGAGGAGCCCTAATAACCAGCGGATAGGGCAAACCTTTTGCCAACAGAAGCAGTTTTTTGTAGCCTTACGGCTTGTCTTTCAGAATTTCTACGATTTATTTTTTGAAGTGACCAAATTTTCCAATCAGCCTATTTTAACCTCGTAGAACATAAAATGTTGAAAATTTCAGTCACCATCCGATGCAGAATTATCTCCTCTTTCTACCACTTGTCTTTTTTTTGCCGGCAAGCAAAATCTGTGGGAAAATTGCAGTATTTCTCAATTTCAGAAGTGCGCACTGACGTAACCTGTGTTTCAAAATCTTCATAATTTGAAGCGAAAATCGCTCATTTACTTTGTAATGGTAACGGTAGTAATAATCATGTGTTGAAACCTCAGTTTTCTATAGGTTTTGCAGTGTTTGGTGCGATAACAGGTCATGCTATTTTGCCAAAACACAAGACTTTTAGAAAATTATTTAGCAAAATCTGAAAAAGCAGCTGAAAAAAAAAGAAAAAATTGCATAAGTTGGCAGAAGGTTTGCCCTATTTGCTGGTTATTAGGGCTCCTCCGAAAGTCTCATACAAAAATTTTGAAAATTAGCGAAAGTTGGAGATGGTAAAAACGAGTGGTTTTAATTTCCAGCAAATATCTTGTCACTCTCGCAACGAAACACAATGGGAGTTTAGCACCTGGAAAGGAGAAGAAATTCTGCATTGGATACATTTTAAAGCGTTTGTTTATCTTCATTCTAGCGTGTTTGCCGATGGATTGAAAAAACCGACAAAACTTTCGGACCCACCTAAATTATACAATAATGAATTTTCGGGAATATTTTTGTGCTCAAGAATTCCAGCTGAACCTTATAAATACTGAACACTCGTTCTAGTCACTGTTTTTCCATGCATTTTCATTGAAATGATAATGAAATAGCAAGAAATCAAAGCGAAGGTAAGGAAAATCAACAAAAATGAAAAAAAAAACGGCAAAAACCAATAAATAATGCTACAAATCCAGAAAGCTTTGCCAAGTAAGCAGCACGCGCAGATTTCATATCAGAACTCCTCCTTCACTTTATCCAATCCGCAGAGAAGTATGGCGAAGCAGCTCCGGCACGCTTTCGCTGGGTGCAGGTGCACCCAAGCTCACTTGGTCAGTCAAATAGGGGCAAATAATAGATCGTTTTTATGTGACGACAAAGGGACCAATATATGTTTTTTTTTGAAGGGCTTATCGCACGTAAACTCCGAATATGTAAAAAATGTGCTGGTAGATCACAGGAAACGGTCAAAAATCCCTTATATGTGATCTGCACTTTTCAGTTCATCTCATTGCGGCTGGTTTCTTGAGAAAGCACATACAGGCATGCAGCTCTTAGTTAACAAAGCCTACTTTGCAACTGTACAAGAATCCGGGCATGTTACCATGCTTAGTCTTGGTGCATGGTTTTTGAACGTAGTCTCACATTGCATTCAAAGCATGAGCACGTTCGGACTCATATATCTTGCTCGGAAACCGTATAAGTGAGTATTTCAAACTACTTTCTAGAGAATTAGCTGCTTTATGTGCTAGTGCTGAATGATTTGGCTACGGATACAAATTTTTAAAATTACGCTTCAAAGTTTGAACTTTTAGCTCAGCTACAATTTTTGAAAATTGAGATTGAATAACTTCCAGAACTTCATAAATAATGAAGAGAATGTTCCCTCCAAAGTAAGCACTGATTTGTACCTCCGACTCTATGGCTGCCAGCTACACAGCGACTTGTGAGCCAAAAATTCAGGAGAGTAGACGTTTACGTAACATCATCGGAAAATAAACTTCATGTTTCTGACAATCAAAATATGTATTGGATAGAGTGAAGGAAGCTGATCCCGATTATATGTCTCTCTCTGCTTAAAAGTGATTTCAGGGGAGTTATGCTGCTGCAAACTTCCGGCGCGATATCGAGTCAAAGGCAGCGGCTCGGCAGATAACAACTTTGAGACATTCATCGTTCTTGATTCTTCTGGATGAGCTGAGTCCAAGACTGAGCTTTACGCTCAAGAAGATACTAATAACTCTTCTGGACGTGAAAAGGGCTGTTTTGGAAGGGCAGCGAAAGCCCGCCTTTTCAAGTGTGATTAACTCGAGGAATCCGGCTGAGTCCATAGTTGTGCAAAGCACAACTATGGACTCAGCTCTTCCAGAAAAGTCAAGAATGGTGAAAACCACAAAGTTAGTCTGCCGAGCTGCTGCCTTTAGTCCGCTGTTTTTGACCTAGGCGCTGTTGGCATCGTAGCTGTAAATTTCAAAAAAGTTGGCGCACATCTAACAATAAGAATGACAAAATTGACATAAAGATTCCAAAACCCAGCATAAGCAACTGTTATAGTGATCTCTTTCGGGCAAAATGAAGTTTTTTATTCAAAAATCTATGACTGCATCCTAACACACTGAAATTCGTCGCATAGAATTCTATTTATTAATAACGTACAAAAGACTTAGTCTTCACGGATCTCAATTTTCACCCATAGTTTCAATTTTTTGAAACAAGGGGTGAGAAGAAGCTGATAAACGATTCTGTAAGTTTGAACACAGTGTTCTCTATTTATGGAAATCATTACTTTGACGGGAAAATTAATCCGTCATTTTTTATATGTCAAGCGCGTGTGGATTAAACGGTAGAGAGCACAAATCTTCAAACATAAGAACGGTAGCATAATACTGTAGCTGCCAGAACTACTTCACATCATCAGCATCCCTACAAAATTTGTATCGCAAGTCTTGTTATTCTAGAGACGACGTTCGAAATTGTCTGACCATCATCGGTACCGTTTGTTTGTCCCTTTAGTAATTTTACTTACTCATTTGCGAGCATCTCTTTTTATATTTTGCCTACGATTCTTGTGAGATATGGCTATCCCTTAGGAACTACGTTGGATGCCACATTACGGCGATGATTGATCTTTTTACTACTCACAAATATACGTCCTGAAACGCAGTTCAATTTATTTAGTTCTATACTTCTAAATCAATTTATCTTTGTGTGATCACAGTACAATCATTCAAATAGAGCATTTTCAGTGCGACTTAGCGTCAGCAAATCCCACTCGCTCCTTTCCCAAATCGAAATATGTGCAACGTCCACGAAGGAATGGTATTCCCAACTCAATCTCGTTACCCATGTCAAAACCATTGGCATCAGTAGGGAGCATGGCCAACGTACAGGTGCCATCAGCATTCTTCAAAATAAGATTTCGTTGATTAACAGTTAATTGCTGATTGCCGAGATCGAAGGTGAGAAGCAGCTGAGAATTGCAGTCGACCTAGAATGAATAGAGTGGAATTATAGTGAAAGTGTGACAAAAATGCTTACCTGGGCCGGTAGAGGTGTGCTAGCTGAAGTGTTCAAGAGATTCAATATTCGAACAAACGAGCTTGCTGGCACTTTGATATAAGGTGATGTGGTGATTATCGTGGACTGCAAAAATGTTTTCATACAGTAGTAGATTTTTGCTGAGCGACAATGGCCACCGCATTATGCCGGGCAAAATATGGGTACTTGAATTTGCATCATGGCACACCTGTATTCTCCTCGTAGAAGTTTGATTATTCACATAAAAATTAGCAATCGTGAACTGGTACAAGGCAGCTGCTGATAATTGTGCGAATTTATGATCGGGTTGGCAATGAACGCCGTCATAACCTAAAAACTTTTCGTCATACTCGGATAATTGATTTTGAACTGAATGAATCGACTTAATAAGGCGACATCAACACGACCAGCACTATCTTGATGGACTTCATTAAAAATATTCAACTCTACTATATGCAGAACTTTTTACTGTGTAGCGGATCCAAATTTTCTGGGGGGGGGGGGGGAGGTACACCTTTTTTCGGCAAGTTCCAAAATCCAATAAAGTCTTTTTTTACAGATAAGACAAGATTTCTCAGCTCATGCATACCACGTCTGAAAATTTAGCGGCACATTCTTAAGAATGGGGAAGGGGAGGGGGAGGAAAAGCTTGGTTCACCATAGTCTAATTATTAGAAATTTTTGTTGGGTTTCCATTTTCACATAGCTGTTCGTATTACCTCCATAGTAAATCACTCCAGCGGTACCATTATCAGATGTTTGCCAGAGCTCTTCAAGCCAGATTGAGAAGACAGAATCGGCGATGTCACCTGAAGGAATGACTACGTATCAGATATTTTCCCAACAGAAGTGCCCGTTCACCTTGGCGAATGCCGTTGACTAGTGGAGGTGTGACAAAACTGCTAGCCACTGATTGGAAAGCAAGACCAAAAACTCCATCGACGCCAGGAACAGAGGCTACCAATGCTGGCACTTCGAGAGCTTGACCAATTTCGGTGTTTGGGATTATGATCATGTCAGCTGCATCCATCGCCAGCTGAATTTTGATTTTTTTGTGTAAAGAAGTTCTTATAATATTCTTAAATTGTACTTCCCATGAAAAATACTTTGAAATTTTGTAGAACTTTCACAATTTATTCCAACAGTGAGATTTCTGCTTCCATTTACTCTCCCAACAAGCAATTTACCCTCATGGTTTCTCTTCCAACGAAGCCTTCAGCGATACCAAAACGATTACTTGTCATCCACGTTCGATTGCTCCTCGTATAGGATGATGAAGCGGCACTGAAAATATTGACAGTCTAAATACACATTTATTGATGTTGACTTACCTATTAAATAATCGTTTCCCTTGACAAGTGGTGCATGTGCTGTCTGGAATCCAAAAATTCGCTGAGCCGGTGTCGACAATTACAGAGAATAATTGTGGAGGTGTTCCAATAGTAATGTTAGTGACAAAGAAACTGGCTCCATATTGGAATAACTGAAAAATATCAGTCAGAATTACCTGCTAAAAAATTCACTTCTGCACCGCTCCATTTTGAAGCTCTGCCCCAGCGGCAAAGTCGCGCATGCATGCTCGTGTCTCGAAAAGGACGAGTTGCTGGCATTTTCGTAAAATTTGCGCACTGATGCAGAAATTCAATACTTGAGGCTGCTTTACTTCTATTCTACGAAAAGTTCAGGTTTATGCGTTTTTTGAATTGTACCACATGAAGCGCACTCGGAATCTAGAACTTCTAAGACCGACATCAAATATTACAAGTTTAACTGGTAAGTATTATATTTAAAAAAGGAACTCCTCCATTTTTGATAATTGCATCTTTTATCGCAAAAACATACTGAAGCCCAGCTCATTCAATTGCCGCGGCCGCGCCCACCAATCGGAGAACGCAGTAATTAGTGTTGTAGTGCCACCGGTGCAAAAGGGCCGTCTCCCCTTTCTGGTATAATACCCGGGTTTTTTATGTAATGATTGCAAGGCCTTTACTAAGTCATCGTTCGCGATGCAGCTCACAGGATTCATCCATGACCTATAAATCTGGCTTGAGTCTCCAACCAAGGTTTCTTCTTTCGTACTCGAGGACGCTGATTGGTGCAATTAGAAGAAAGATTATTTAGACGGGAGCTTTAGGTCAATCTTTGCTAATGATAGAACTCTTGTGGTGCCCACGGTATTGACTTACTTAGGAACTCTTAATGAGCACCCATATTCAAAGACAAATTATCCAGATAATCAGATTTGCCTGAAATTGCCTCTGAAAAGGAGGAACAATAGCTCTTACCGGTGCTCCTCCTCTCGTAATATTGGTAACCGGCGCTAGCTTGATGGGGACGAAGAAGCCAGAGGAGACTCCGATGAGTGTAAGAGCGAGCACAAAGGACAACATTGCAGCTTTCATTACAAAAATCTCGGTTTTATACGAAAAGTGATGTAATGAGGAGATTACAGGATGAAACCTTATCGTGCAACATGCGTACAGAATAAAGTGATTGCTCAAAACTTAATCGGCTTATAAGCAGAGGTAGTCATCTTATCGGTCTGATGTTAGTTCCGGAATCCTTAGATGCATGGTACCGCTACTTTTTTCAAATTCCAAGAGCTTACAATCTGCCTACACAAAGAGCCCAAAACAAAGTGCTGTAAAATAAGCAATCGCCTCATAATTTAGCGTGTGAGTTGTAAACTTATTAAACATATCACTAACATATTTTTTCGGAAGTGAAACTTAGCGGTAGTTTGCGAATTTCATGAAGTACATTTTGTTATAACAAAACGTGAAAAAAGGCAAGTCATATAGGAAATAACCGACGAGAAAAAGAGTTTCACGAGATGAAATCGCGAAAAATCAGATGAAATTGCAACTGTTATGATTCATATGCATGGAGGTATTAGCAGCTACTACTTCATAGGTTCTAAAGGGCAGGTATTGTTTTACTAGAGATTTAAAATCATTTTCATTTTCACCACCTTATGTTGCTTAGCTGACATTTCAACTCCTATAAATCGTGAGGAAAGTGTGTAATGTTGCGACTTCACAGTGTTTGTAAAGTAGGGTTTGCCTTATCAGACTAGACCTTAGCCGCAATCTATTGAAACCTCGCCGAGAGCCAGGCCTTAGAAAAAGCAGATGAGAAATGGGTTTTAAAGCTTTGAAAGGTCACTTCTTCAAAACTTTATGAGTTCTTGTGCGACTACATAGGTCGAAAACCACTCCTCAGCTTTCAAATTTTAATATGTGAAGGTTCGATGAGATGCTTGATACGACTCATGCCCGGGGAGACTTGTCAGCAATAATTCTTCTCTGGCGGCCTCCAGCCAATACATTGAAATGAAAGAGGTGGGAGGGGGAGAGAGAATTAGTGATAAAAATTCTCCCCTTTCCTCCCATGGGTTTAAGCCTCAGGAAGCATCAAACCCTCTACAAACTATAAATCTCTAGCTCTTGGAATGGAGATTCTAAACTATGAAAGTCTCAAACGAATTCTGTTTTTCTGATTCTATTTGGAAGAAGAGTTCACGCGTTTTGTCGGTGCTGTAGCCGGCGTTTCAAAACGCGCGAGCATCATAGATTGAGGCTCTAGAAGAAAATCATTTGAGTTTTGGTTTCCTGTGTTTGGCACAGAATTTCAAACTTGCGATAAAACTTGGAGCATTCAGCATTACAGGTTTCTTGACGCTCTTTGAAGAACCAAGTTAAGGTCTGTGTTGATTGTTATGTTGCCGTGAAAAGTCATGGTTTCCGAGAAAAATGCCAAGAACTCAAATTTGCGTTTTTCTGCTTGCTCAGAAATCATAAACTTTTGCAGAGACATTAAATCAGCACGAACTTTATTCAATCCTGCGATTTTTCCAAGTTCCAGACTCTTGACCAAAGACAGGGAAATCGATTACATGTTTTATTTTCACCACTGCTTTGGCAATGTGTGTATATCAGGAAGGAAGCTGCAGCAGTATCAAAGCGCATAGTTTCTCTTCCAAAAATGAACCGAGCTCCAAAACCAAGAAGCTATTCTTTGGAAATGGTGCGACAGGACGTTTGTTCTAACCTATTAATTCACTTTAGGTCATAAAATAATAGGCGTAAATGTGCATGTGAATTGTGCTCGTTGAAAACAGGCTTGGCACTAGCCGGCCTCTGTTCGGTGAAACTCTTCTAAAATCTATACAATTCTTACAAAATCCCCTTCTATGTCAAAATCAAGTGAAAGGATTATCTTTGATACAGGAATTGTAGGAATTTATTTGCGCTCCTATTTTTGAGGTCATACTGCGTATTACTTTTTGAAAAGCATTTTTCATTGTGCTAACTTCCATTTACAAACTTGATGAGCACAATGATTTATTGCTGGTCTAACACAACAGGACTTGCTGAAGACCTTCTGCCACTGATTGTAAATGGGGATTGATTATGACTGTGATTAAACTTGGTATCCCTCCATTTGCGCAATGATGTGAAGTTTTTTCTGAATGCTTTGTGAAATTCCTTGCTCATTGCATTGTACACGTAGTAGTTTTGCGAACACGGAATGAGGTTGAGAATGGCCTGAAATAGTACAGATTTGAGCAAGACAAGGAGAGAAAAGAAGTGCTACCGCGTATGAGTTCACATAACCACCCTCGCCACGTAGAAAAGGCAATGTGTAGTTAAACAAAGTTATAAGAGCATTAGCAAACCTAAAAAATCAACAATTGAATGACATGGATTAATCTAACGGTAAAGCACTTCGCACCCGGTGAAAAAGAATACTGACATAAAAACGGATAGCGTGCGCATCATCTTTCGTTGATAGCGCATTGATGGATCCATCACGCATACGCCCTCGGATTTGTGCACATTCTTTCTATCTGAGATGGAATTTTCGTACATTTAATTACAAAAAAGCTCAGTAGATTTTTACAACATAACCAAAATCCAACCTCTAAACCACATCACTAATGCTGTAGCTGCATAAAGACACAGTATCGAAACACAAGTGCCAACCACACAAAAATTCCATACACGAGCCAGACATTGCGGGAGCGATTGTGGTATATTACAGGCTATAAGGCACATTGGAGCATGAAATGAATCGCCGTAAGAGTTGAAACAAATGTAGAGGATGTACTATAGCAGTTTCCTGTTGTTTCCTCATACAAGTACAGTGTGTGTCTTTGATCAAAGATAACGCTTGCTTTTGCGAGGCCGTTTGTTGGATATTCCCTTCATCAAAAAAGCAGCAATCTACTACGAAAGATTACAGGGAGGAAATGGTCAACAAATGATTTGCAAATTCTTGCGTTTTCGAAAGCAGCGAGTGAAGCGCGAAAAGCAACGCTTAATCTTTGGTTCCCTCCTACCACCAACATCCACCTCATCCGTTCCAGCCCAATGACAATTCATGTCGTGCAATAGTGCCGCTTTTGTTTTGGAACGAATGGAGTGACTGAACAACAAGTATGTTGCTTTATGCTCTGCGCCGTATGCAGCGCAAAATGCGTTTCACTTCATAATCAAAGCCTCCAACTTATTACCCGCCACTCGTCCCATTTTCTCCACCTACCCTTCGTTCCCTTTAGCGCGCTCTGCGATCGGGGCAGGATTGCTACACAAATGTTAGGTTGGTGCAAAAGTAATGCGCGTTTTTCCAGCCCTTGTTTCAAGATAGCTTTTCTCCATCGAAGCTACTCCTATGAAACTTACCCAACATATTGTCAAGAAGCTTCTTTCATGCTCTATTCAACGGTGGTTGAAAGAAGCTTCTAGCCTCATTCGTAAATAATTTATAGAGCTTCATAAAACTGCACTCAACACCAGAATTTCACTTACTTTTTTCGCCAGAATTCAAGCGCGAGTAAAGGCACTCTTTTGAAAATTTAACTACTGTATGTAGTAGAAATTTTCTACGTTATGCACTCTTTACTGTTTTCCTAGAAATTACTTAGACGGAGATCTCGGCTCCTCAACATGAGTGATGGTTCTGGCCATTCTGTGGCCCATAGATTTCCTTTGAAGAGGACAATCGCCAAAGTTTTGCTCATTTCTGTAAGCGTAAGGGCGGGCCTTCTGTTGATACTTTTTGTAGAATTGTGGAAGCTGTTCAGTACACAGAAAACCGAAAATCTCCATATTTTGGGATTTTGAGGGCTACGAAAAAATGTCGTGAAAAGCGGACAATTTTGAATTTTATTTTTTTCCTTTTCGTAAATATTCTTTATTTGAGCCCTTTTATACTTTTTTTGTACTACTGGCTTGCGGCTACAAGACAGTCAACTTATCATTTATACCGACAAATCTTGAAGGAAGTTATGATCAGTTAAAAACGAGGTTTCCGAAAAAAAATTTTTTTTGCTTATCGATCCTTATTTTTCCACCGATTTGCGATATTAACATAATGCAATGTGCGCTGTATAGGGAGAGGTTTGGTGCCTCTAATGAACTTCGCCGCACTGAAAAATATGGAATTTTTAGAAAGTTATAGCACGTCAAAGTGAGAACTCGCAAAACGCGCATTACTTTTGCACCAACCTAATAATATTCGGGGCTGTGAAAAAAGTAGTATGAAACCGTTTTGCACTAGTATGAAGATTATTGACAGGCAAAATCTTCTTAAAGAGATTATGTAAAAATTTGTGAGAAAATTGACGGGCCCAGCTCAGCTGGTAGGTACCAAGCTCTAACGTCTTCAGCTGATTTGGAAAAACTTGGGCATGGCTTTCAAACTTTCTATAAATTATTCGGCTATGATTTGGCGTCTTGGTTGTATACAAGTCCCATGCTGGGCGAGATAGTGCAAGAGCGTGTAGTAATGGCTGGTTCAAGCCAGTGAAGATGTTTGGATAGACAATTCCTGATGTAGGATTTCATTCTGATGTACTTCTGTGCAATTATCCCACGCGCTCCACCGCGGACCCCACTAGAACGGCTCCGACATCGCCGGGCCTTGAGCTGTCCACCTAAGGTGGCTTAAAACAACTCAAAGATTTCCTCTCACATTCCTCACTTTTCAAGAACTTTCATTCACATTCTATGTAGTATAGACTGTTTTGAAGTGTTAAATCTCCTTCTCTTCGCTTAGCAGCACCTCATTTACTTTGAGTGGTGGCAGCAGTTCTGCTCTGAACTCGCGTTGGTGCACGCCGTACACACCATGCCGGGAATTTAGAGATACGTACACAATTTGTTTGACGCAATTGTGGTTCTTCTGTATTGTTCTTCATTCTTACTTGCCTTTTTCGTCTTGACCACCTTAGGGGGATACCTCACTTTTTTGGGAATCGTGAGACTTCTTTTTCAGAAAATTTGGAAGTCACCTTGTGACGAGCTCCGCTAACATAATCTAAATCTTCTAGCACTTTGTAGTTTGAAATATGTCGCTTACCACTCACATCCTCGCTATCCATAAGTACTGCTCCAGATAT